AGCTTGGAAACAGAAAAATTGACAAAAAAAGCCAGAAAATACACAAAAAAGAATTCCAGTCGGAGGTGGCGAACGGCCACGGCCACCAGGCTAGAGTCCAAAAGCCAAGGAAAACAGAAGTGAAACCAGAAAAATAAACAAAAAAACCCAGAAAAATAGACAATACAAATACTCGCTCCGGTGAGCCACATTGTCGATTGTTGTCGCAGCGGCCAAAGTGAGTGAATTCAGAAAGCAATCTACAAAGCTTCATGTCCGCCGTGAAGGCACCATTGCGCGAGATGTCAGCTTCGGTGCTGGCATGCCGGACACAATCAAGTACTACATTTCAGCCCAGCAGGAACCTTAGCTGCCGAACTGGAGCAGGAAGGAACCGGGCAGTTCCGAAGCGCCAGCCTTGAGGTCCCTGGCACCAGGCGGGAGACTTGGAGCATGCAAAGAGCTGGTCTTCGCCGGAGCAGAGCGGTCTGATGTCTAAGGCAGTGCGGCGTGTGTTCAGTTCGGCTCTCGTCTTCACAGGATGTGACTGCATGCACGTCGCAGCCTGCAGGCCACTGACCGTTTCTGAAGCAGCTCATGAAGACTTTACAGCTGCAGCTTTTTATTCTGCAGCTTCCCAAACACCTCACAAGCATTTCAGAAGCATTTCGAAGGTCTGCTCAAATCACTGGCCTGACGCATGGTCTAGATTTACATACATGTTTCGTGAGACTAACGAGTGTGGGTGTATTTCTGCACCTCTTGCAGTGCACAATCTTCTGGCAGAGGCTTGAAATTCTTTACTCAGCACGGAACATCTGACTCATGTCGTCTCTGCGCAAATCGGCAATGTCGGTTCAGCGCTCCGGGCATATCGCAGCTGCTACGAGTTGCGCTAGCTCGCCATGATTACTACAGCTCCCCTTCGAGTTCGCACAGCTGCGACAGTGGTTTCCCGAATCAAGTTGATGATTAACATGTGTGGATATTAGCGGTTTGCGTTTTTACAGTGCTCTCGTGGCATGTCACGTCAAGAGTCTTGGGTTCGACGGTTGGGATGTGCCACGATGCACTCATGAATCAAGGTGTGTATACGGCAGTCGCAGTCGCACGTGTCCCCGCTGAGTCTGGAGGTGGGCTTTGTCTTGTCTGGGCTATGCATGCTATGCCAGCATGTTGCTGTGACCCATTGCTTGGTTTGCATGTTGAAGTGGATTTCGGCATTCACGGCAGCTATATCAGTTTATGTATGTTAACCACGGGGCCAGGAAGCCACAGGGAAAGAAGAGCCCTGGGCTGGACTCGGCAGTGATGCAGCTGCGAGGCAGGTCGCTAGTGATCGGCCAAATCTTGCAAGTCGTGTGTAATCGTGTGCCTCTCTCAGGATTGCCATCCTCTTCGGCCAGTCTGCATCAGCTCCTGGCCAGATTGTTCACCCTCCGACCCCTGTTTTTCCATTTCTCTGCACACTCTGCATCTGCACAGTGTACCCTGCTCGCCGCCGCACTTTCTATGATCGAGCCGAGGCTTCCTTCCACTCAAAGTGGGAGATACTGATGGGGCAGGGCGAGGTTCAGAACTGGATGAAGAGCACACCTGGTCACGATGTGCAGATGCGGTATCCCGGGGAGTGGAAGTTTGCTGGCATCTCGGCTTTGTTTTAGCAGCAAGTGTCATCGCAGACATCCTGTGAGTTGTTTCAGATGTCTCTCAGTGTCAGGTGGGGTTGTAGACGCAGACGAGACCCCAGAGGAGGCAGCACGCAGAGAGTTGGAGGAGGAGTTCCAGGCTTCGGTCTTGAGTGTGTCTTCGGCATGTCGGCAAGTGCCTTTGTGTTCGCCCCGCTAGGTCCCCGTGGCGCTCACCAAAGCCACCTGCAAACTCCGGCTCATGAGCATCAAGCAGACCAGGCCGCTGCGAACAAGCGAAGCCCTAAGTATAAGCTGCACTGGCAGGCCCATCCGCAACATCTCGAACATCATGCAGTCCTGCAGCATTAAAGGTTTTGGCCTGTGCGTGAACTAGGAGCTGTGCCTCTGTCCGCGTTTCCGGTAGGATATGGCAGAATGGTTGCCGTGATCGATGAGTTACAGAATGTTGCATAGATGCCTGGATTTGCCTGGCAGCTGCATGCGAGGTTCAACTACGTGGCCGCGGCTGAAGAAAACCCGTGGCTGCAGCAGCTGGATGTTGAGGCTTCTAGAGACATGTGGATTGGAAGACAATGACTGATATGTGGCATGTTTCAGAAGATTGTGAGGCCTTTGGTGATATAACCGTCGTGCCCAGGAGGTCAACTGCGCCTTGTCAAATCGCCGCAGACTGCATGCTGAAGCCATTCGAGGCGCTTGCAACTGTCTCCTAATGCTCTTGCAGATCAACAGTATTCACATGACTTTCCAGTGCAAGATTTGTCGTGTATACTTCGTCCAAGCACGTCGTTGCGTCAGATATACCACACGAGGGCACTGCTCGTGTGCGGCCATTCTGCTTGCAGATGTTGGTCCCATGGCACGACGACCGCAGCCATGTCCTTTGCATTTGTTCGCATGGTGCTGGTCTGTGCGTCAGCCAATACAGCGACTGGAGAGGCTGAATCAATCGAGAGACGCTGGCAGGGTGTCCAATCTGCCAGTAGTCCGTCGCAGCTTATGAGGTACTGGACTTTTCCAGACAACACAAACACGCCTCCGGCATCCAGGCCCGCGTCACGGATGCAGGTGGAGCACGAGCCGCTCACAGCAGAGCGGCTCGTGTTCGAGTCGAAGAAGCACGTGGTCAGTTCCCAGGGAGGAGTTGAGCAGAGCAACAACTCCAAGCTTGAGCTTGCCAGAAGCGACGGTCGGGAGACGCGCGAAGAGCTTTTGCTTCGCGAGTTGCAAGGAAGCAGCTCGCTTGGGGATATCATCTTTTCTGCAAGCAAGGCAAACGCGTCGAGCTCGAGCTCGAGCTCCAAAGCACCGGAGAAGGAAGCAGCGGAGTTCCAGAAAGAAGAGGCGAAGCTCCGAAAGCAGCGCGAGAAGCTCCAAGAGGCGCCGGGCCGGGATCTCAGCGAGCGATGCAGCGGGATTTGAAGAAGTGTTAGAGCTGATTAAACCGCCAGGAGATGCGTCTGCAGCATGAGCGCCTCATGCTATACCAGCGACAGAAGGACAAAGAGCTGGCGGACACGATCAAGAGCTTGCAAGACCTGGCCGGCCATCATGCATCCAGCGAAAATCGTGACTCGGATCCCGTTCCTTACAGCACGATGCCACCACAAGCTGTGGTCCTGCTGGGAGCGCTGGAGGGCAGTTCACTTGGTGGAATGACTGTGTTGGCTTCCGCGTGCATTGCATGCGCAGCTGGGGCCACCGTCGGGGCATTTGGGCGCTACAGGTATTCGTCTGGATATACTGCGAGCCTCTTAAGCAATGCAGCCGAGCCGTAAAATTTAGACGCCAAGGTTCCTTCTTGACAAGGCTTGACACGGATCACGATGTTGCATGACCGTACTGAATTCGTTCGAGCCAGGAGAGCAGCGGCGAGTTGAGGTTCCCACTAGTTCCAATGAATCTCTCTCCGATTAACCCGCATAGGAATTGTTAAATCCTGGGATTCAAGGTCCACACGACGTATGCTTACGCATTTGTGCATATTTATCTGAGAACACGCGCACCTTTTGAACAGATTATTCAACAACATGTCGCAGTCTTCTCCAGTACAGTTGTTGTAGCTGTACAAGTGAGTGTGCGTTGTGTTGTGTGTGTGTGTATATCTCTTGTGTTTCTCGTGTTTCGGGGGCAGGGTCAGTTCCCCTTTGGCATGCCAACTCACAAAACCATTTCGGTTGAGCGACATCCGAAAGAGGGAGTGGCCCGCACGACTGGAGTTTCTGTGAGCCCATCTAGCCAACGTAGGACCTGGAAAGCAACAAAAGCTGACAACCCAGCACCTGCACCCTGAACCAACGCGATGAGGGGAGAACCACGGCATTCCCGGGTAGCACGAAACTTTGTTAATTTTGTGAGGCTGCATGGCCAAATGGCTTTGCCGAATCGAGCCTGTGCCCGAAACACACGAGTACGCACACATAAAGCAAAAATATCTTTATGTACATGTATGTAGTAGGTATAGATGTGCAGGGAGAACGAGAGAGAGAGAGAGAGAGACAGAGTATGTGAGTAAGTCTGTGCATAGATAGGGCATGTCCAGCTATGTTCGTTGAACCTCGTTTTAGCTCTGTTGCTCTCGTGGTCAGTGGCGCGCCATCATTTGATATGACGCAAGGCACCTTAGCCACGCGATAAAGAGAGGTGCCCTGCAGCCGTTCGCGCATTAGGACATCTGTGGTCTGGGGGATTTAGGACGGTGCAGGATTCCAGGCAAAGTTTCCGATGTGTCCTTAGAGTATCAGAGGCTGTTCTATGATTCCACAGCAGTGACTCGGTATCAGCAAGCTGAGACCCAAAGAGGACGCGCAGCTAAACACGCTGCCGCAGAATGTCTCTGTCACCATGGCAGAGGCGGTGAGGTTGTTCGGAGGCAGACGCTAAGGCTGCAGCCACTAGGAAGGCTCCTGTACAGGGCGATGCCGGAGGAGCCTAACAGGCCGACCAGCTTGCAGGCCTCGTTCGGCACCATTGCAGGCCCTTGCTTGCAACAGATTGCCCAAGATCTTGCGTCAAGTCATGCCAGTGGAAAGAGGAGAGAGACCCCGCCTCTTGACTCTCCGACTTTTTGCCACGGCGGCAAAGCAGCTTCGAAACTGCCAGTCTCGTGCGAGAAATAGACCCGACAACTGACAACTGCCTTGCCAGCTATGGGCAGAAGCGTGCAGCGAACATCCCAGCCATCTAGCATACTGCAGGTCGTCAACGGTTTCCTGATGCATGTTTTACGATTCTCCCTGCGAGGAGGCAATTTCTATACGTTGGGGCATCGTGAGCAGGAGAAGCTCGCTCCGGAAATCCATCAGGCTCTTGCAGTCGAAGGATGGCGCAGAAGCAGCGACAGCAGTGATTCTTGAAGCATAAGCCGACTATGCTTGGCACTGCCTGTTGCTGCAGCTCCAAACTGTCAAGCCCGTTGCAAATTGGAGAAGTTACCTGCAAGCAGCCGACTGAAACACAGCACAGAAAATCGATTATTGTTATGCTTACGTCTATTGCAAGCATTAAGATCTACAACCTAAGTCTGAAAAGTAGTACGCCATGGACTTGCGTCGGCTCCTTCTGTTTCTGGGCTCTCATGCAGCACTCGGAGGCGAGATTGGATCCAGATGGCAGCTTGCACCTATCCCACAAAAGGGTGCAAATGCAACGCCTGCCACGGAACTGGAGATTCGTGTGACGAAAGGTTTGGGGTCCAAGGCGCTGCTGAGGGCCATAAGCAAGGGCTTGCTAGGTCAAAGATGCTTCCTGCTTGTTAGTGAGACACCGCACTTGCCTCGCTCATACTGGCAGGGCTATGGGATGGTGCGTCTGTCCGTGGTGGCTTCAAGCCGCGATGTGGCTCCCGACTTCCCATTTAGCTATCGGGAGCAGTTCAAGTACCGATGGACAGACAACTACCTGCTAAGCTCCCTCCTTTCGCTGCTTGGCTCCCTTTAGCTTCTGTGCCTTTCTTTGGAGCTTCAGTGTGGAACCCTGCAAAGATCTGCTCGTTTGCTGTGGGGAACCGGAGCGTCGGAACGGCCACCGGCGATGGACGGGTTGTCAGACTGCCCTCCACCCTGCGTGCTCCAAGGCTCCAGCCAGGTCCAAACACATTTCGACTTGCTGGACAAAGCATCAAGATTGACTTGCCAGCAGAGGACAGGGCATTAGAACCGTCCCGGGCCAAGGAGCCTGTCGATTTCCTTCGCATGTGGGTCTTGTCCAGGACTCCGGCATCCGGGGATTCTTCGTGTCCGACCCATGCTTCTCGTCCAAGTATGTGGTGTGCTCCTACAGTTCTACTTTCCAGACTTTGGAGCGTTCCACGAAGCTTCTCAATGCTGCCTTTGAAGACGAGTCGATGAACCTTCTCGGCATTCTTGGTGAAGCTTGGCATCATTTGGTGACAGCGTTTTGCTTAACCTTCATGACACTACGTATGGTATTCAAGACTTGGACGTGCTTCGTAGCTACCTCATGCAAGGAGTGTGTACGTGTTGAAGAAGTTCTGAAGTTATCCTGGCGTAGATGGCCTTCACCGAGTAGGTCTAGTCACAGTTGTATTGTCGCAGTGGCAACAACGGCAGCGAAAGCAGCAGCAGCAGCAGCAGCAGCAGCAGCAGCAGCAGCAGTGGCAGCAGTGGCAGCAGTGGCAGTAGCAGTAAGGGCAGTAGGAGGTTGTCCTGCAGCCATAGTAGTGGCAGTAATCATGGAAATTCAAGTGCAAGATCGTCATGAGGATAGTACTAGTTATGGTAGTCGAAGTGGTACTGTGACGGTGATCGGTCTTGTCGTGGTACGTCGCAGAAGCGGCGGCAGTCTAGTTCGTCGTCGTTGTCGTCGTCTTCAGTAACGTTGTCATCGTGTTTGAAGCGATATCATCAACAGGGGTGCTTGCGGTAGCAGCAGCAGCAAGCGACAGTCAGAACTATCTCTCATTGGGTGCATCTGACTTTAGTTTTAAACCCCACTTGCTGTTTCGTTTTCGTTTCCATTGCATTGGGGGTTCATCGCACATGCTAGCAGGCAGCATGTGCAGCAGGGTCAGGGCAGCTGTGGGCTGCACCGGTTCGTACACGGACGTGCGCTGCTTGCGAGCATGAGTATGTATGCGTTTCGGTGTAGCTGTGTCATTCATGTCAATCTTGGTGCTGATGGTGGTGATGGTGGTGGTGGTGCTGCTGCCACCGCCCTTATGGATCGTTGCTGAGGACAACTTCTACGATCAGGACGGCGAGATTTCGAAAGACTTCTTCTCTCGGGTTTCTCAAAATGTGAAGCGTCGCTTCTGGATGGTCGTGAACGGGAATCACGACAACTGGGTCTGCGGCTTCCCGGCCTGCGCCGGCAAGTCCGACAATTTCGGTATTGGTCAGATGCAGTATTACCCGATGGACTCGGTCGCGTCTGGAGAGGGTAGCAAGCTCTTCGATTTCGTAGATCCAGATAGCAATCGACACTGGAATTCGTTCTTAAACAACGGCACAAACTTCTTCTTTTATCACAAGCTGGGCAACGTTGGTTTTCTTGGTTATTCGGGCGCAGCTGAGTTTGAAGAGACTCTTCCACAGCTGCACGCTGCGTGCAGCTACTTTGCAAAATCCAAGCCAGAGGTGATTTTCTTGCTTGGACACTGGAACAATCCAGGTGACGGATGTCATAAGCCCATGAGCGTTCCTTCGATGTACGAGAGGCTGCGGACAATCCCAGACTGTAAAGCGCTTCAGTCGCGGCTAAAGTACATGGACGGGCATGAGCATTGCAATTACGTGCAGGCAACACATGGGGATAACAAGTACGGGTTTATGATCGGCGGTCATGGTATGGCAGACATCAACTGCAGGCCGCAGTATGGCTTTGCATATTTGGACACGACGGGGGGCTCTGCCAAGCTCTACTATTTTGAGGTTGGTGGTGGAAGCCGATGGGGCACCGTGGCAAGCATGGCTGTTGGACTCCTTTTGGGTACTGCTCTGGGGATGCTGGCGGGTCTCGGTCTGACGAGACTCTGCGAATGTGCGAGGAACAGAAAGAAATGTACTTATGTCGTTCTCAGCCTCCTGGGCCTTGCACTTGGCATCGTCGCAGGATTTTTGCTGGGTGTCTTCTTCATAAATCCGCTGTTCCCCATGGAACATAACTATGATGAGATCATGGGTTGCCTTCAGCAGAACGGCGGCCTTCACGCTTGCACCCATCTGGCCACGGAGTGGTTGAATCAACCCATTCAGAATGCCTCATCGTTTTTGGTTTGAAGCCGACGTCGAAGACGAGGTGTTACATAAATGTTAGAGTCAGTGAGTCCAGCCTTTTTGGCCTTTTGTCGGCTTCAGCTCATGCCGAGGGGTGACTTGTACAGTTCGAAGCTACCGGAAGACTGTGCAAAGGTGAGGAAATTTGACATGGTGCCACGGGCGGCTACCAGCTACTAGTTCGAGAAGGCATAGGGTGCGTAGAGGACTCATCATGCTTCTGGCTTGCAGGTGCGATGGCTCGACATGCGCTCTGCTGTGTGCGATGCCTTCACCAGCATGAATGGCTCCATGCTCAAGCTTCGTGTTGCTTCTGGCTTGGGGAAACACGGTCAATTGCGAGGAGGACTTTCGAGCGGGCTATGCTACGCTTATCCAACTGATGGTTCTTGTTCTTGCAGTTCTCCATTCTCTCGGCACGAAAGCACCCAGAGCTCGGCTGCGCGAGCCCGAGGCTCCTTCCATCCAGTCAATGACTTCCAAAAGAAGGTGCGGCATCGGACACCAGTGGTTGCATGGTTCGGAGTATGACCGAAGATAGAGTTCTCCTTGATGAGCCAGGGTTCATACAAAGTATAAAACCATCCCTGCAGGAGTTCGAGCGGCTCGGCGTGAAGCGCCGAGATCCCATGTTCCTGACCATGGCCACACTGCTGGAGGCAGGGCGCTCTTCCCCGTCAGCCAAACCATGTCTTCCCATTGCCGAAAAGTTGTAAGCACCTGCAAGAGCTCCAAAACGTTGGTGCATCTGGCAAGGTGGACTCATTCCCTTCGCTACGCAGCTTCATCGCCTACTCAGACCGCCTGGATCCGGGGAAGGAGCCTCTGCGGGTTCCATCTGTGCCGACCTGACTCCAAGGAAGGGTGCGCATCCGAAGAGCAACGGTTGCGTTTGACTTCCTGAAGCGCTTCGCTGCAGCAACGTTGCCCACTTCGAGAGGTCTCTGCAGACCTTTGCGTGTAGCAGAAGGTTGAGCGCACATTGTCACCTGCTGCCGTCCCTCCAATGCAGTGGGCAAGCCCGCGGATCAGGCGTGAGCAGCACTGAAGCTTTGATCAAGCTTGTCTGCACAACGCTGTGCTGCAGGAGCTGCAGCGAATCCAGTGGCTTCGAGATGGAATGACACCAGAAGAGGCCGACAGGGAAACTGGTCCGCTGTTGTGAAGCCTGGCATGTCTTAAACAGGTCCTAGGCCCTAGGCTCTTTGTAGGCCACGGCTCCTCAGCTTTAGCTTGCTGTTTGCAAGACTTCGCAGAGACTTTCGTGCACAAGCCACCAGCATTCTAGTTGGAAGAATTTGTACAAGGTTGCCACGGTGTGGAGCGCCAAGAAGTCTCCCACGGAGGCAGGCCTTGGTAATTAAGCAGTTGCTTCGTTGCTTCCACACCTTCTTGTGCTGACTTAGAGGCTTTCATGCGGGCTTACAAGCGCACTTGCCAGCCTGTACTGAGGTCGCTGAGCGAGCAGGCATGTTCCGCACTGCGGAGGCAGCAGAGTGCGGGGCGCGCAGAGCATGCGGCAGTTGCTGCAGTGACTTGTGGACATGATCACCTCCTTCTAGAGTTGCGCTTGCAGGGCCCGGCATTGCGAGTAAGATACTCGTAGAGTGTCCGCAGTTTCCACGGCTTCGCCATTCACAGGAGCGGCTTCAGCTGTGGACTCGAAGGAAGGAGGACCATGCGCAGAAGAAAACGATGCATGCGTGAATGCTCAAACGAAATTGACGAGAGCTTGCAACTTAAGGGCAAGCATCGTGTGCGTCCGCAGCTTGGAGCGGCGTTTGAAGCTACGTACCTGTAGGGCCCAAAGAACCTCAAGGGGCGCTAACTGACTTCGCATCCCCATCGTCGTGCGTTCCAGGATTCAGAGGCCCGATTGTGAGCGACCTCCAGTACACTCATAGCGACCAGAGCACGCTCCCGAGCAAAAGCTCGGCTTTCTGAGGGCTCCGAAGGCCCCCGAGCTCCCAGGACTCCCAGGACATGGAGACTTGATGCGCTCTGTACATCTCTTTGCTCCTTCTGGACATGCAGAAGGCGGTCCTTTGAACATACAGAGCGCTTGGCAAGCTTCAAAAAGGCCAATCGAAGCTGCCGAGCACGTGTAGCATGCATGCGTTTAGATTCTCGTCGGCTTTCCTCGTCCAACATCGGCATCGAGCAAGTCAGCAAGGTCCGGCAAGCCTGTCCAAGTGACGACGGGCCAAAGGCCTTTCCGGCAGTCCGAATCCCAGCTGAGCTTTTGATATTCTCATTACCCTGCAAGCAGCCGGCAAGTCGCGATTCCCAGGTTCAGTGCTCCCGTGGCAGTGCCGGCCACGACGCCGGCAAGGCCTGCAGCCTCTCACGGTGTTCAGTTAAGCGCTGCCTTGCAGTCTTCACCAGGAGCCGGATCGTGGTCCACCCGCCTGTTATGACGATGTCAGGTGGGAACCTCTGATGCACTGGATCCGAGACCATCAACTGATTATTCTCAGCTCTTGTGTTTCAGTACGCAGCCGAAAGCCGTGAAGGCGTGCACACACCACGTTACAGCGTGGGAAGCATGGCTTTGCCGCAGGTCCGATCTGATTCAACTTGTGTGGTCTGCATCTCCGAAGTCTGTGTGCTCGTGTGTGTGAGAGAGCGAGGGAGAGAGAGGAATAGAGAGGAGAGGCTATCGAACGCCGTGGTTCATGAAAACGTGTGGCATGATCATGGTGGACAGGCGAAAGCACAAGAACCACAGCTGACTCCGCGAGGCTAAGCGGGGCTGGTTTGACAAAATCTGCCGCTGTCTGCGGCTCTGGATCATCCAAGATCCCGTAAGATGCTTCTCACGGCGAATCTGTCTATGCCAGCGCCTGCTGTACAGGAATCATGTCCGCCTGTGATTTCCGTGAACATAGGCTGGGCGTACGCACCTATGACGCCCCCAGCTGGAGGCCAGAGTTGGACCCACTCATTGAATACTAGTTAACTAGTTGCAACGGTCTCTGTTTTCCTTGAGCCAACTTCCGATTCCCGATGCCAATCTGATCGTGGCTGCATGCTGCAAGAAGATTCCAACAGCTCATGCTGCAGCGTCGTGTTTCAACTTGCAGGGTAGCTGTTGATGCCGCTGGTCCAGTTTCAGCCAGTGGTCAAGCCATGGGCAACTCCGGACTACTGTCCTGCTGTGTGAGACTCGGCCAACATCAGACCAATGCAGATGGATGATGTCTATCCGACTCTATCACTTAAGATTTGTTGTTACATGTGTCTCCATTGCTCTGAACCTAGAAGCATCCACGGTGCCGAAGGGTGCTCCAAGCCTCTAAGGAACGACCACAAAGTGGATACGAAGCTCCAAGCTCCTCACGCAGCAACAGATCAAAGAGCTAGTTCTAGGCACCAAACGCAGGTCTGCTTGACTTAAGAATTCAGCGATGTGTGTTGGTTGCGCACTGACTACACTGCAGACACACAGGCTTTGCCACCTCAGCGCAAGCTCCGTCCGCTGCTATGTGATCTTGAGGCATCAATTTTTCAGCCAGCCATGATGATCTGGCATTCTGCTTTCAGAAGGAAGCTCCTACTGGCAGGCTCAGTTTGCTCAGTACGCCGGCTCGGACAAGGAGCTGGACGAGCAAGAATTGGCCGAAGTCTGGATAAAGGCACGAAGGTCATCTGTTTATGAGTGTACTAGTATAGGCACATGTCGCTTGGTCGTGAGCATGCGGAAGTGGTCAGTACGAATTATCCTCCCTGCGCTGACACGCGACATGTGTCCCTGGGACCTGGCACAAGACGATGCTGGAGCTCAGTAAACCCGGCCTTGATTCTTTGCTTGGCCAAGCTGCAGGCGGCAGAAGTGAAGGTAGGTGCCAGGGCGGGATCAAAAACCTGGCAGCTTTGTCATTCCTGCATGCTGTTTGTAGCAATCTCGCTCTGTTTATGAACAACGCGAGCCGCTGGCTGGAGTTGCCTGTGCCTACCCTGCAGGAAAAGTCTCCCCAGAAGAAGCTATGTTCATCAAGCAGAGCACAAAGGACCCGACAAGTTGGAGTGCGGCTGGCCTCGTTCGATTGACGACCTTGTAAACCTCACTGCCCGAATAGGTCTGTAATCCTGTGGCAGAGGAATATTTCAAGACCATGGACATTGACAAGTCTGGCAAGATCACGTACGTCGCTTGTTCGAGCATGGAATGCTGTTTGCACATTCTCGACATCGAGAAAGACGAGCTTTCGTCGTCCTCCCTGCAGCAAAGGAAGAGTTCGTCGCAGGCATGCTTGGTGGACACGAAGATGCAAGCCACCTCACGCAGACACCTGACTGCAGTTCGACAGATTCGACTCCAGTGGTCCATTCCTGAAAGGTGCCCGCAAGACGGGCATCGGGTTTGATGCAGGCTGCGACAGGAACTCAACACCAAGATGAAGAGCGATCCTGGTCAATTGCAGAGGCTGGATTGTTTTCGAATCACGTAGCATGTCCAGCCAGTTTGTAACCTCGAGCGTATCTGAGACCCGCAGACCCCTGCGCCAGTCCGCAGTACAAAGATCAAAGCCCCCTTCGCCCAACTCGGACAAAAGCTGCAGCTGTCAGGTTGGTGAACCAATTTCATGAGTGGGCTCGTGCCCTAGCGTTTCGGGAACATCTCTTACCTCTCGCCGTCGTGCCGCTTTGCAGGACAAGAACGGTGATGGGTATATCACAAAGGATGAGCTCGAGGAGTGTGTTGTGTGTTTCGAACTCCCGTGATAATTTAATCGGGAGCATTCCCGACGTGGTGGTAGGCTTGAGGGAGGGATACCAAACTTCATAGCCCGTAGGAGCATGTGGTGCAGCATCTTGACTGCAGTCCTTATTTCCTCTGTATCATCCTGCAACTGAATCGGCGCTCAGGCTTCAGCAGATGGCCTTATCAGATGGCAAGGTAGACAAGTCCGAGAAGAAACGTATTGACGAGGTGCGGAAGAGACGCACGATTCCTTCCATCTCATCACCGGGCTTCGAAAGATGCTGACCGAACAAATGCCAGGCGCGCAAGATGATGGAAGAGGTTTTTGCTGAGGCAGATGCACGGCTCTCAGATACCATTCCGTCAGCTTGATTGGTGAATCCTGTAAAAGAAATCAATGGTTCAATAGCTGCATAGCTATGATTGGCTAGGCCACAAATCGTTCACCGGACCAGCTGTATTGACTTAGCCGAACGATATCTCGGGCAATCTATTCAGTTTCAGCAAAATCAAGCTTGAACCTTGTCGATGGATTTGAGCATCCAGCACTGAAGATTCCCCGAAAAACATCCGTGGGATCTTCGAGTTCAGTAAGGGTTGGACTGCGGATGTGAGACCACCAGACGGTTTGTCAACCGGGTACAGGTGGATCACCGGTGAGGCTGCCAAATGAAGGTGTATACATGCATATTATTACATGTAACACGCACGTACATACGTACATACATACATACATACATACATACATACTCACGGTATGCACGCATACCGACATATGCACACACTATATATATATATATATATACATATATATATATATATGGTAGCCCCCCCCCATGAACTACCGACCCTCGTTTTGTATCGTAAATACCGTGTTAAACCTACTTTTCCGGCAGGTCCGGATTCTGTATCTTGCAAAGACTGCCAAAATCAAACTCACATTTCAAGGGAAAGTGCTAGACAACTCGTTCAGGTTCGACGTGA